CCTAAAAGTTAATAGATACTATTCAAATTACCTTCATAATTAACACTATTCAAATATGAATTTTATTAGTCATTAATATTAATGGGTGGCATAAGAAATGAATGTACCTGGATAAGAATAATTGTTTGTTTTTATGTGAGCATAAGGTATATCATACACTCATAATATCGTATCATTTCTATGGAATCGTATAAAGTTTATCACATTTTCCATAACAACACCAAACATATTATAACACAATTAATCGACATTTTGAGATATTGTCGATTAAAAAAATTAAAAATTTTTAATTTAATGTTTATATGTTTAATGGGTATTTAATTCTTGAAATTCATATTAAAACTTAATTTTTTATAATTTGTGTGAAAAATGTCTACACTTTTGGATAATTTTCGTATTTGCGATACGATTGACAAGAATATTAAACACGAAATCAAATTATTTCACGTTTTCTATGACAGCAACAATAAAAAAAATATACTATTTGTCACAAACGATGACACCGCCTATGGATTGGGAAATAATGGTTATGGATGTTTAGGTTTTGGTCATTACATGGATGTGAAAACACCACTAATTATACGGGAATTGTGTGGACAACGGATCCAACAGTTTATCAATGGATTGGACTTTGTGTTGGCTATGAATGAGGACAACCATGTGTTCAGTTGGGGATACAATCATAGGGGACAGTGTGCTAGACATGTGACAGCAGCAGAGCTTTATTTAAAACCACAACTAATATCACAATTAAATGACAAGAATATCGCATATATTTGTTGTGGTGGTCGGCATTCCTTGGCGCTCACGACCGATGGAAAGGCGTACGGGTGGGGCGACAATGCTTTGGGACAAATAGGATGTGGGTACTTTGAAAATGATATAATGTGTTCACCAGTTTTGATACAATTTGAAAACAATTATAAAATGAAAAATATATTTTGTGGTCTCCAGAGTTCATTCACAATTACTTTAAATGGTTTGGTATTTAGTTGGGGTTATAATAGTGACCATCAATGTGGACACCAAACACCAGATTACATTTTGACCCCCAAATTGATTCCACAGTTAAATGATATCAAATCTATTTGTTCCACAAATAGCATAGAAAATAATTTTACATGTTTTCTATCCAATAGTAATATAATTTATTTTTGTGCAAATATACTGATGACATGAAACAAGTCCAAATAGAAATACTACCCAGACCAATTTCTATGAAATTAAACGTTCAGCAAATTGAAGAAATGCATTCACTTGTTGGTCTAAATGTCGTATTAATACAAACTGATGACACAATTTGCGCACTTTTCTCACCAAACAAAGTGATAAAACTTAAATATAATAATTTTGTAGATTTTTATGCAACTGAATGGCAACAAAGTTATAATACACTGCATATAAATATTAACATGGTCACAAATCCCTCTGTAATGAAAACAAATAAAACGCCAAATATTAAACCAAAACAATATAATACTAATACAAATGAAGGTATTTTGTTATTTGTTTTAATATTAAATAAATAATATGATTGCTTGTTGTATTTGTTATAATTAATATATTTTATTAACAAAATAGTTGTAACAAAATTGGGACATAATTCGCATGAAAACCATTACAAAAGTCTGTTCATTGAGTTGTCGGCCATCGGTTCCGGAGGTTTTGGAACCGTATATAAAGTAAAGCACAGAATCGATGAACACATATATGCCGTCAAAAGAGTCCAAATTAAAGGTATTATAAAATGGAAAATAATTTTTAAAACTATTTTCAATTATTTCAGACTTTTCTGAGGAA